AAATGTGTCACGTTTCTAATGTAAATATTTATGTACCACCCCGATGTTACACATGACTTCGGAGTAATTTGTTACAACTGCTCAAAAATCCGCTATACCGAGATTAGTATTGATAGTAAATCGTTATTATTATAGATCTCGATCCGTTTAATGTGTTTTATTCAGAAATTCGCTAAATCGAGGTCTGTTGAATTGTGTATACTTTTTTATTTATAATTGCCCGCGTTCATATTGATCACGTTCTGCAATAATTTCAAAAAACAATTTAAATTTTTACCAAAATTATCCACCCAAGGAGAATATAATTACCAGCACAAAACCTTGATAATTATTACGTTGAATTATTTCGATAAAAAGAAAAAGTGTTGTTGGTCAACCTTGCATTGGAATTTTAATATAATGCGTTGGATTTTAATAATGATACTTGCATGCTTCAATCGAATATGTATTTTAACTCCAATTAATCTTTTATTTTATTTTAATGTTTTTGAATCATAGAATTGATAGGATTGGCCGAAGAGGGTAGAGTAGTTATTGCTAAAAGATATGGTGATGATAAAGATGTTTAAAAGGCCTTATTATTTTAAAATAAAGTTGAGGCTTTGTATATATCAATTATTATATACCATAAATAGATCATTTATGGGACAAGCGTTGAAATGTTACACTAATATTTTATATTGTGCAACGTAGCTTTACAATACACGGCAAACATTATGGCAATAATAATAAAAGTAAGTGATAAACTGGATTTGAATTGGATCTGAACTTGACCTCCAATTTAGAGAGGTAACAACTATATACTGGTGGGTTTTCAGTTCTGTATATCTTTTCGTGTAACAACAACTTCCACTATGCTTGTGGGACATTCATAAAAAAAAAAAATTCTAAATTGAAAATAATAAATTTTTACATTTCTATAAATCTATTACTATTATTAACATTACTATTATTATTAGCTGGTTGGTTAGTTGTCGGTCATGAATTCGTTATTTAGTGGATCTGATGCCAATAAAATTATTGTTGGTACTAAATCCACAAAATTCTATGCAATTGATCCTACAACCAAAAAGTTGATAAAAACATTTGATAATAATGAAAGAGATAATGAAAACGAATGTCCTTTTTTACCTAAAGATGCTTTATACATTTGCATGAATGGTAAATATTCATATTATATTATTATTAGATAATTTCTATAAAATGTAAAAAAAAAAATTACCATGTATATATATATATATAATGATAATGATAATTAATAAATTTAGCATATAAAATACGAATTTTTGAAAATGGAATAACGAAACGAAATGTAACTTATACCGAATACATTCCACATAGCTATGACACAAGTATTGAATTAATACATAAAACGAAACCACATAATAATGATTTATACATTGCAGCTCCAAATGGTGATATATTATCAACTAATTCTTATTCTAGTAAGAAAGATCTTCTTTTTGTATTTATATATAACAATGATAATTATTACCGTTTTTAATATTTCATATCTAATAAATATGATTTAAAATAAAAAGCTCGAAACGAATGGCATCAAGTACTTCGATCTCCTGTTGTTGGACTTTTTGATTCTTTTTCTTCCTCGCCTGAATACATATCACCAGCACAACCATCATCGTTACCACCACCACCACCACCATCATTATCATTACCAACATCATTATCAAATGAACTTTTAAAGTTAAAAGTGGATAATAATGATGACGAAACTTGTCAACTTGGTTCACCATTATATCCAAGCTGTCTAATCGGAAATAATAATGATTATGATGATGATAATTATTTGATAAACAATGAAGAGCATATTTTTAGATTAGGTATCGAAGGTCCATCACCCCTCTCTTCGCCATCGTCTTCATCACCTTCATTAGAAAATAATTATTCCTCTTCTGCTTCTCCTTCGATAGATAAAGCTGATTCCATTATTAGTTTAACACGTATTGGATTCTCGTTATTCAGTATTATTTTATTGATTTTTATTGGTATTATTTATTGGAACAAGTATAATAATAAAAATGGCAGACATTTTTTTAACAAATTATCGTTGACTCCATTACTTGGAACAATTGCACAAAAGTATAATGATTTTAATGAAACCTTTTTTAGTGACGATAGTAGTGGCAATGGTATTAACCAAGTAAAATCCAATAAAAAAGAAGTTGGTAATAAAAAGAAAAAGAAAGGTAACAAAAACCATAATCATAATAATATTAATGCAAATAATAAGAAAGTCGAGCTTAAAAATGATGATTTGAAAATAAATGGCACTACAACTTCTAATAAAGAAACAACAATAACAAATAACAATAATAGTCAAAATTTAGATGTTAACCTTCCTACTTCAACTATTGAAAACAATGCATCATCTAACATTTCCACTGCTGTAGTTAATGGCGAGTTTAAATTAAATTCTTTAGTAATTACAGATACCGTTTTAGGTGACTTATATATTTATTTTTGAAAAAATTTATTTTATTATTACATGATCATTATTAAACTATATAAATAAATATATATATATACACATATATACATACTAGGTTATGGAAGTCATGGTACCATTGTATATAAAGGAAGCTTTGAAGGAAAAGAAGTAGCTGTAAAACGGTTACTGCTTGATTTTTATGATATAGCACATCACGAAGTATCATTGCTTCAAGAAAGTGACGATCACCCAAATGTTATAAGATACTATTGCAAACAACAATGTGACCGTTTCTTATATATTGCACTGGAACTTTGTCCTGCTTCTTTACATGATTTTATAGAAAGAGGTTCGATGTTTGAACATGCGCATCTGATAGAGTCATTACACCCATCAAAAATCCTTTATCAAATTATTTCTGGTCTACATCATCTCCACTCTATCAAACTGGTACATCGAGACATCAAACCACAAAATATTCTAATAGCTGCTTCAAAACACAAGAAAACAATCAAAAAGAAAGGTGTGATTGTTTATGAAAAATCGAAAATCAGAGTGCTGATTTCTGATTTTGGATTATGCAAAAAGTTAGAAGGGGATTCAAGTAGTTTTCACAATACTGCAAACAACATCGGAGGTACGATTGGCTGGAGAGCGCCAGAGTTGTTATCACACACATCATTATCATCATCACCAGACAACAATACTACAGCAGCAGATGCATGGACATCCGTGGACCAATCAAATTGTTCTTTTACATCGTCAGGATCATTGAATAGTGAAGAAGATTGTCCACGCAGAATCACAAAAGCAATAGATATTTTCTCCGCAGGTTGCTTATTTTATTATGTGTTGTCCAGAGGATGTCATCCATTTGGAGACCGGTATTCCAGAGAAATAAATATATTGAAAGGAGTATACGATTTAAATAAATTGGATGATATAGAAAAGGAAGGCATCGAGGCTAGAGATTTGATTGAAAGGATGATCGAGCGTGATCCTGAAAAAAGGTAACTTTTTTATTTGTTATTATTAATTATTATTATGGATTATTAAAAAATCAATAATATGTGTATAGGCCAAATGCGGAAACAGTGATGACGCATCCATATTTTTGGTCGTCGTCTAAACGACTTGGATTTTTACAAGATGCGTCTGATAGATTTGAGATAGAGGAAAGAGATCCACCATCACCGTTACTTAATCGTCTTGAGCAAGATTCCAGTAAAATAATAGGTACTGATTGGTACAAACGTATAGATAAAATTTTAGTGGAGAATCTTGGTAAATATAGAAAATATGATGGAGCCAAAATAAGGGACTTATTACGAGCTTTAAGAAACAAGGTTTGTATATTCATTTATATATTTATTTTAATTAAATAAATAAAATAAATAAATGAAATAAATAATCTCAATTCTAATTTCTTTAGAAAAATCATTATCAAGATCTTCCAGATCATGTAAAAAGATCGCTTGGAGAGATCCCAAATGGATTCCTTTTTTATTTTGTTTCAAGATTCCCAGAACTTATGCTACATGTTTATTACGTGATAGCAGAGTCGGAATCTTTAAAGAATGAAAATATATTCAGTCATTATTTTGAAATACCGGGAGAAATATAAAAGAACAATTTTTCTAAAAAATTCTAATTTAAAAAAAGAAATTTATAGACTTGTTATATATCATATTGCTGTTTAAGGCTTCTTGATTTAGTTAGTTTTAAATCAATATTATATTTATTTATTGTTATTATTATTTGTTATTTATTGTTTGTAAATATTAATTTTCGTTGTTAAATTAATTAATTCTTTTTTTTTTTTTTGTAAATAGAAATTTTTTTTTAATAAAAATTTATTTCATATTAATTAAAATATACAACAATTATTATTATTATTAGTATTAATAGAAGAAAAAAAAATTTAAATATTAAGGTTTAAAGAAAATAATTGTCTGTCGTATTTGTTTGCCTTTCACTTACAATTTAAATAGAATTCCTTCTGACATTATTTGATCTGCTATTAACATTATTATTGTTACTATTCTTTCTTTTACTTAATTTGTTTTTTAATCCACCAAACAAATTTCTTTTTGTCTTTTGATTAACATTACCATTTGTATTATTAATGTTCCTTTCGTTTAATTGTTGATTTTGATTTAATTGATACAATCGTTGTTTTTCATATGTCATGATATAATCTGTTAATGAGGAGATTGTGTTATAAGTTCCCAATGGAAAATCATAAAAATTTGAAATTAGGGAGGTTTTTATTGGAACTTTATGATATCTATGTTTTACGCTTGCAGGTTTTGTTATAACAATATCATTATTAGTTGTATTATTACTATTTGTATTCTTGTTGTTCTTGTTGTTATTATTGTCATTATTATCAGTTGGCATTAGAACTGTTGAAGTAGTAGTTGTTATTGGATTAGTAGTTATTGATTGCCTTCGTGATTTAAATGAGTATTCATTATAAATATTATTATTATTATTATTAACATTATTATTGATACTATTGATACTAATACTATTACTATTATTATTATTACTATTATTATTGCTTTCTTCTATATTTTTATCTTTTATACTGGGAAAATAATTAGATTGTTGTATTTCTTCTTCTATTGATAAAATAGAAAGAGGTGAAGAAGATAAACGAAATAATGGTGAAGACATTGTAGTCATATTTGTTGTAGCCTGTTGCGATAAATCTATTGAAATAAAAGATTTATTATTACTATAATTGTTGTTGTAGTAGTTGTTAGCATCGACATCATTATAATCATCAACATCATTGTTAATGTTTTCATTACTATTATTATTATAATATAGATTGTTATTCTTCATGATTTATCCAATTTTATTTAAAAAAATTTTTTTATAAAGATTTATTATTTATTATTCACTTCTTTTTATATTTTTTTGGAAATTTGCATTTTGTTAATTTAATTTATTTACTTTTTTACTACATACTAATATAATTATGTAATGTGTAATAATAAACAGTTCATCTCCGTTTATTTATAGTATAAGTGTTATACGTTTATAGGTAATGGTAGTAATTGTACATTTGAAGTATATAAAAAAAATACAGGTTTGTAAAAAATTATTAAATAAATATTTTTAGAACCCGATGATCATAATCATAATTGTATTAATTCAAAACACTAATATATACCAACAATGATTTTTTTTGCGATTTTTGGTAAAGCACCCTTATTATGCTATCTAAAAAGAAAAATATGTAAATATAATATTCCCAATCTCGTCATTGTAGTGCAAATGGGAATATTCCTTGTGTTTCTTTTAGTCAAGTTCCGTGCTAAAGATTTTCTAAAGATGAGATAAAATTGAAGATAAAATTGAACATTTATCTATCTCGTAAGCATTTTTTAATACGATTTTACATTTCGCGTTTTGCATGAGTTAACTATAAATCATTGATTTAAGAGTACATATACATATACGTATACAATATAAATATGTGTTAATTAATTAATTAATCAATTAATCAATTGCTTTCATTCAAATTTTAATTTTATGGATCACGAATCTCACATCTTCATATAAATGCCCATGTTCTATTGTAGATGTGATTTTTTAATTCATGTTCCAACAAGTAAAGGAAAGGACAAAATTCTCAATTAATACTTTCAGATAATTTTCTTTATTCATACCATTAAACTAGGTACAAAACAATTGTAAAATTAATATAAATTTCAATGGCCTAACAAACAAAAAAAAATTTAATGAATTTTCTTTTTGACAAATATATTGTTTTTCTGATGATGTTAACATAATATGGGTATACTGCAACAAGATATTTTGTTGCTAAATGTTACAATCATACTTGGTAATAGTAATGGTTATAGTCAGTGTATAAAATTCAATGTGCGGAATGTGCGGGTGTAACATTGTACATTAGCAGTTTTCTGCAGATAGTTTCTAAATTTGTAGAAATCTGCATTAGCTACACACTGAAATTTACACACTGGTTATAGTGGTTTGTGATCTTAATATTAAATTAGATGATTTTAATTTTCAAATGACTATATTAGGAAAACAATGAAAGAAAAATCAAACTTGAAAACTGGTATTTTTTTTCCACTAAGAATTATATAATGGAAAATATTGTATAGTCTTTCAGAAAATTTTGGCTTTAGATATGTTGATATTCTCAATCTCATTGTTAGATTTAGTCACAAACCAAATAAAAATCAAAAATACAAGCTTTTTATTCTCATTATTGCAATATTGATTTATTTTTTTCTTTTAATTCTTTTAATGTAGTAATTATAAAACCTAAAAAAGTTATATCTGCTATTCATAATCATATTTATCATCATAATTTCCTTTATTATTTGAAATATTGTTTTTATATTCATCAACAGCTTTGGCAAAATTTTCCTTTTTTAAGTCAGAGACAGTGGTTTAACATGATTACATTTGTAATCAGGAATAAGGTTGTGGGCAAAACTCTTCCAGAAATCAATCAACAGAATTTTGACAGGTTACACATTAATTGTTTTGTCAATTGCCAGTGTTTTGACAAGGTTAATACTAATTGTTCATTAGAGTTTTGACAGTCATTAAGTGGTTTTGGCAAGCAACCTTAATCAAGAAGAATGTAAATTTTATTTTTATCAGTAATACTGTAGCTTGCTTTTTTTTATTATTGTTGGATTATCATCAATATGATATTGAAAGCCAGGATATTTTCTTTAACTTCATCTAAAAGACAGTCAGAATGAATTTCATTTATATAGAGGAAAATACATATGGCTTTTTTTATTTTTACCTATGTTTTTCCTATGATCTACCTTTTAAAAAGACTATTTTTTACCCATTTTTTCCCATATGACCTCAATTATGATTACTTGTGGTGCTGTTATAGCAATAAAATTATCAATTTAGGTAATAAATAGCTTAGTCAGCTAAGGATTTTTAAATGGCTAACATCACTAGTCAAAGACATAATTCTATGTTTACACAAAGGACATAATCCTATGTCAAGGACATAATTTTATGATTCTATGTCATTGACATTACTCTAATTAATTGAACTGTATATAAGGAGCTTGAATTTGATGTTAGTAATAAGTTAATAAATTAGTTTCAACTAAATAAACAAACATTTATTAAATCAATAATTCATTAGTATAGCCAATTCTTTCTGAGACGCAAATGTCTGACTTATTAAGAGATCTGACTTATCAAAATATGCAATTTTACAAAAAAAAAAATTACTATATAAATTAAATTATTTTTATTTAAATCAATAGTTGAGTTCAATGTCAATATTTTGATGTGGATCACGTTATATTTAAAATTTCCAAGTTCCTATTATAGAGATGAGAATTTTTTAATATTAATATTAACATAAAAATCATAATAATAATAAAAATATAATAATATTAACATGTACAAAAAATGTAAAACTCTGTTTAAAAATTATAATAATATTAACCCATATATAAGTGTAAAATTTAGTTTAAAAAAAAGGTTAAAAATCTTAAAACAAAAGGAAGAAATCAAACTTGATGCTGGAAAATCATTTAATGGTTCTGGAAACCATAAAAATGATACTGATTTGATTGAGTACTATTTAAAGATGGGAACTGCAATTATCCACAATTCAATTTTCATATGCTGCAACTGCAGCCACAATTCAATTTTTATATGCTGCAATCAGTTGCAACTAATTGAGGATCCATCTTTAGTACTATTAAATATATGGTCTGGTAGTTGCTAATTATATTGCTAAATTTAATAAATTTATTTAAATAGCCATATTGGAAATACATAACTGCTGATTTGTGAGGAAGCATTCTGCGAAACTGCACAACAAGTATTAACTCAAAGACAACTAGGATATATGCAATTAATGATAAAATCTGGTCAATGTTTTAAATATTTTGATTTAATAAGTTTAATATTATTATAACAACAATTATCAACAATATATTCTTTAGCTAAAAAAAATGTCAAAACATAGGGGTGATCAAAAATTAAAACTGCTCTGTTTGATTGTTTTCCAAACAACTCAATTCAAAGATTGATCTTAATATCATAAGTGAATTCAAGAAGTCAGATAATGCAAAATGGTATTTAAATCATTGAATTCCAGGATATCTGCTACAAGTCTAACAAAATACATTGATTCTATTATAGCATCATTCACAAAAGACCAATTGGCAACAGTTATTTTCAATTGCTGTGTGCTGTTTTATGCTTGAGGAAATAATTATGGATGTAACTACAGTTATTGAATTTACTCTAATTTTTATAAAAAATGCTTAGGGTAAGGTTGTGGGTGAAACTCCTCCAGAAATCAATCAACAGAGCTTCAACAGGTTACACATGAATTGTTTATCAGAGTTTCGCATTTGGGGGTTTTATCAATCATCAGAGTTTTGACAAGATATATACTAATTGTTCATTAGAGTTTCAACAGAGTTTTGACAGTCACTAAGAGGTTTCAGCAAGCAACTTTAGCTTAGGGTGGTGATTAGAATAATGATTAATTCTGAGAATTGTTGTGATGTAATGTTAGATTATATATATACTGTATGCTAATGAATAATAATAGCTTAATTCAATTTATATTTTTATGTATATTCTATAAACACTGCTTACATTTAACAATAAAGTTCCGTGATATTACATGCTAAAATCAATGTAGTATATTTTACATGATTTCTCAATAAAAAAATTGTTCAATCCACATGTAATGACTTAGAACCCTGTGGATCCACTCCACATATTTTGGCACAGGGTGTTTGGAAAATTTTGTATTTCCACAATGGTTCTATGCAGATTTCTCAGTGGATTTTACACAGAAAAAAATTCCTGATGTAGGAACTGTAACAAGACACTATCATTTATACAAAAGGTAAAAAATTAAATTAATAAATAATTATTTTATTTTTTTTCTATCTTTCATCATCTACCTTCAAAAAAAATAAAGGGCGAAGAAACTTCAACAAATCCAATTGCTTCAATTTTTGCTTGGACAAGAGGGTTGGCTCACAGAGCTAGGCTAGATGGAAATGATAAATTATTAAAATTTTCCACGGATCTTGAACAAGCTTGTAATGACACTGTTGATGTTCATGGTAAAATGACTAAAGATTTAGCATTATCAATTCATGGAAAAAAGTAAGTTAATTAATTTAAGAGATTTTTTTTATATTTTCCAATAACTGATTTTTTATTATTATTATTATTATTTTAGTCTAAAAAGAGAACATTATGTCAACACTGATGAATTTTTGGTTGCTGTTAGTGACACTTTGAAAAAAATTGTTAATACTTAATGTACAAGCATCAATAAAATTTATTTATTTATTATTTATCATTTCTCCTTGTATCATGTGTCAACATTTCTTTTTTGCATTTAGATTTTTTAAATATACCCAGACCTTGTCATGCATGTTCTGCTACAATTTGTTCAACAGATGATCTTTTGGTGAATAAAGATGTTCTTCCACTTGGTAATTTAGCAATGACATGCATCTAAAAATTGGTGCTTTGATACCTATGGTAATTGCAGATTTGATTGTAACAGTTGTGCTGCCTTGACATCTTGTAATTATTTATTATTATTTAATATTAATATTGATAAATGATTACGAAAAGCAAAATACACAATCATTCGTTTACTATCTTGATGAGGATCTTATAATTACCCAATAATGATCTGCCCATGTTTTGATTTCAATAATATATATTTATAATAACCAAAAAAGAGCAGAAGGAACAAATGGCAAATTAAATATTTTATAATTATCAAATTGCACAATGAATATAATAATAACAAATAATTATTGTGTATGCTTTTTTATCTGTTACTC